GTGTTTAAAAAACCTTTAGAAAATTTTACTATATTTTATAAACAAAACTTTTAAAAAAAATCAAATTTAGTTTAAATTTAGCCGGAAGAATATCTGAAGTTTAAACAAAATACAATTTTGTAAAATTTCAAGACTTTCGAATGAGACACTAGAGAATTGCACTGGAAATATTGCGAAAAAATTAGTGCTTAAGCTTTTGATGTACCTTGACAACTTTTTCCTCTTTGATCACTTCCCCCCACTCATTGTAGTTCATGCGTGGAAGGTAGAAAGCGAGTTGCTCCTCGTTCTTGTTGCGGGGGAAGTAGTAGGCGAGGACTTCTCGCAACTCATTGATTTCACTCGAGATCGGACACAGTACTACTGACTTGAGGTCGGAGAAAAGCCGGTGCTCAAGAACTTTACGCATCACCCTGAAAGTGTACATTGAACTCTCCGATATTGTGGTCAATAATGTTACAACTCTGATAGCCAGAATGTGTTTGTTAGTTTTTAACCTCTCGGGTTTTTTTTTCCCAAAAAGTATGAGCATTTAGAATATCGCAAATACATCGAAATCTTTTTTTTTGGAACCCGCAATGGTATTTTTATTTGAAAATCTCAGAAAAATCTGAACTATGACGATTTGAAGCTTGGACAAACTGATCATTCTGTTCTTAAATTTTAGTCCTAGTTTCTTATTTAAGAAATGTTTTTTATCCACAATCCTAGAACTGAAAAAGCAGTTTTTCATGAAACGTCAGTTCTTGTGCTTTGAGAACCCATAGTTTAGTTTTGTGTGATAAAACCTAGTTGAAAAGACGACATTTAGCCTTTCGAAACTATAAAGAATCGTGAAGGAATCGTGATTTCATGTTCTAACCTGAATGCACTTTGCATGCCCTCGTAGCAACACTCCCCCGTAGGATACAATCCACAAATAGCGATACTCCCCACTGGACCTAGATCCTCACTCTCCAGACTCTCAAAGAAGAGTCTTCTGTACGTTTTGGTCACCAGAGTATCCAGACTGTTGGCAAACTTACCAACTGGACCTTCGACTCCAGCAGCTACTGCAACATAGTTTGATCCGACTAGATCATGCTGGCCTGAGAACTCGATCTGGCCGCAGTTGAGACTGTATTTGGTCTGTGCGAAATGCCGGAATTTTTTACCGGCTTCGGTCATCATTGACTTGGAAAGAGGGTAAATGTCTGGTGCTCGGAAGACAACAACGTCTACCTAAATATTCGACTGTTGAGCAAAAAATTTGACAAAAAAAATCCATCTGCCAATTTTTGCCTATGTAGTGTAACACTGGTTTTGTAACTTAAGTGAAGCTTCGTAGCGTTTGAACAACCGACTACGATAATGAAGAATCCAACCATCGCAACTTTTTAGGAAGCGTCAATGACTTCAAATTCGTTTTTCAAGTAGAACTCAGAGTTCTACGAGAAAAAAAAAATGGTTTTCCATGAAGATTTCAACCTGCGATCTTCTACTCATGAGAAAATTGCTTCATCGCCTGAGCCACTGTCGCGGGAATTTATCAGTAAAAGCTTAAAAAAATGCTCGCTGGATTTTGCGAGTATTTCAATTGATTCCATTTGATCACAGCAAAACCGAATCATCGCAACCGAAATCTGATTTGTACAATGCCTATGCTACATGCTTCAGACACTACCCACTAACTAGCAATTCGAAAATTAATTTATAGGTAGAGGCAAAGCAGGGGTTCGCAAAACTTGCGATACCACACAATCATAAACACAGATGCGAAGCTATGCTTCGCAAACAAAAGGGAGTAAAATGCAAAAAGAGCTCTGAGCAGGCAAAACAAAGATAAAAAAAAAGACCTTCAAAAAATTTTGTTGAAAATAGGCGTATCATTTTCTCACATCTGCTGCACGACCGCTTGCAATTTGCCAAACACTAGTTACCAATAAAGCAGCTACAGTTTCTATCAAATTGCCAATGTTATGCAGTAAGAAATCGACAAAAAAAAAGAAAAAACTATTTAAATGTTCCAGATTTGAAAATCCGACCTGTTGAGTAGGCGTCTCACGTCCTCGCATCTGCGCCATGGTCGCTTGGATGTAAACTAGTAGCCCAGCTAATGCTGGACCTACCTGTACTAATATTTTTGATCATATATTTTACTGATGCGGAAATGCATAATTTTCAAAATTTCAAACAAATGGACTTCACGCTTAACCCTTGAGATTCTCTGCTCAAGTAGGAGATTAACGGCTTATTTAAAGGAGCAAATTAGTAATCGCTCTTTTAATTGGTCTTTATCTTAAATTTGGTTGGGAAGTTTTTGAAAAAAAAAAGTGTAAAAGATTCCAAAAATCGACCAAAAAATTGACTTTTCCTATTTTCATAACTTTTTTCTACTGAAGCAAGACGAAATAGCCTCTAGTTTCCACAACCCGGTTTTAAGATAAACAATTTCCGCATCCTGATGACTTGTTACATTGAACTCTCCATTTCAATTTTTCTACGAAATCAGCAAGTTGAAAATCTACAGAATCAGCAGGTTAAGTAAAAAAAAACAATTACTTGTCAAAAAACATGCACAATTTCACAAATTGGTTTTTTTCTGCGGCCATATTTTGTTTCCAAAACACAGGGAATAGCCGCTTGCGCAAATAAGATTCGCATAAATGGTTTTTTTTCTTTTGGCTGAACACTTAAACTCCGATTTGGCAGGGTAGTTTTTGAGAAAAGTCAAAGTGTTTTTAGAATTAACCAAAATGTCACAAAACTAGGGAACAGCCGCTTAAAAAAGGGAAATCTCCATAACTTGTTCTTTTGACTGAAGCCTTTTCCTCAGATTTATGCGTTTACCATTTGAAATATTGACAAAAAAAATCAAAACAAATATGCCAAAAATCCCCCTACTGAAATTTTCGAAGGCCGTAGAACTTGAAGTAAAAAAAGAGACAAGCGAGTTATGCAGGCACATAGAAGAGCAACCGGTCTTTCTAATGGTACCATTTTTTTAGTTTTCGAGAAAAACTGAAATTTCTGCGAAAATTCAAAAATTTTCCAAAGCGTGGCAAAACATAAACGAAAAACAACAAATACCATACATTTTCATAATGCATGTTTTTTTTTCAAACAGGACCTAACACTAGCCAAGAAAAAAGAGCAACATATTCCTTGAAAGTGTTTATGCTTGTATAAGCGTAAATATGTTTAAAATGAATTGTTTCAAAAGAGCCACCAAATGAGTACTCTTGTTTGCCACTTGGGCTACAAAAATGTTCTTCACAAAAATGAGTAAAAATAAAAAGATGAAAAAACTAAGTGAACCAAAATTTTGTCTCGATAAAAGATAACTGAGGACCCAGCTAAAACTGAGAGGTACCTGTTTGATGGAATTTTTTATACTGATTCGGGAGGATTTTGCCAAAAACCTTAATTTTTTTCTATTAAAAAGCCAGAAGAGTGAAAATTTTTGAGATATTGGCATCTTGCCAAATACATTACATTTCTTGTAAGCAAATGAGAGAGCCGTCGCTTCTGCAGGAAACATTCTAGCAAACGGTTGTTTCGAGTCAATTAACTGGTCAAAAAATAAAAATTTGACTTTTATGAGAAGAACTATATCTTTTTCTATTAAAATTTTTGGGTGAAGCCGCATAAGCAGAAGGAGTTCACTCGAGTTGCTTTTTCGATTAAACCCAAAAGCTCAAATTTAGGAGGGTAGCCTTCGAGAAAAGTCAAATAGTTTCAAAAAACGGTAAATTAACCAAAAATTGACTTTTATGTGGGTCATAACTGTTTGCTTTAGAAAATTTTGGCGTCATTGATTATGTACGGGAGCTTGCAACTCCCGTTATTTCGATTAAACTTATAACTTCAGGTTTTAGAGGATAGTTTTATAGAAAAGTCAAGTTTGAAAAAACTTAATTCAAAATGTGATTTTCCGAGGGCACAAAAATGGGGTTTGCCCGCTAATGCAGGGCAGCTTCCAACAACTAGTTATCCCTGTTGGACCAAAAATTTCAGATTTGGAATAGTAGTTCTCAAAAAAGCCAAAAAATTTTATAAAACGGTAAAAAGTCAAAAAATTAAATTATCCGACAGCTTAAGCGTTCTATCTAAAAAAATTAGTTATTACCGTTTACGAAAAAAGTTAAAAAGATGGGTCAGATATTACCTCCACAGCCTTTTTCTAAGGCTGTAGACAGTGATTTAAAAATAAAAAGAGATTGTGGATTTATGCAGACACAATTAAACTAACTTGTTACAAGGTCATGAAGATACACAAGGGAGTAGGCGGTTTCTCCGGGTTTGTAACTCATACATCTAGACTTTCAATTTTCAGAAAAGTTATTTTGAAACCAATTCAATTGCAAAATCACTAAATCCTAATAATTGTTTTTAATCAACTTATTACATTCAATTCATTGGTTTGTACGCTTATCATTTTCTGCTATCAGTCACTTAAACCCGCGTAATTAGTTAAAAAGATGTCAAACTCTTTTTGCTTAAGTTTTTTTTCTAAAATATTATAAAAACTTGTGTCGAATTTGTAAAAATGTAAAACTTGAGCAACATTAATAGGATAGGGTCCATATCTGCAGCTGCTGATAGCCTTCTGTCACAACTTCATGAAAAATTCAACATTTCAAGTTTCGAAAAATAATTCTTAAAAATCATAAAGGCAATGAGCAGTTCAATTTGGAGCCCAAATAAAAAATCTCGTCAGAATTCTTACCTTACTAGCACACCACTACAGTGTTGAGAACTTTGAACTTTGTAAAGTGTTTTAGAGCTAAGTATTTGAAATTTTACGAAAAATCATAAGACAGCAAACCTTAAAAACTAAGATAGTTTCAGCAGTGTATTTGGTGGCAGGATTTGCAATCACTGAGAGTATCTTAAAAGCAACCCACTGAAAAGTTCAAATAAGGTTCTATAAGAAACTTCAAATTTTGTAATCAAGTTTTGTACCTTGTAAAACTTGAAGTTAAAGATTTTTGAAAAAAATAGAAAAACTGTCATATCTCGAGATCAAAAACAATTTCAGCAGTCCCAATTGGAGGAAAGATTTGCAAGTGAATTTCCAAATTTGTGAAAACTAGTATATCTAAGTTCATTGAAAATTTTTTGAAAAAATCAAAAGAAAAACGCAATAGTCAGAAAAAGAAAAGCATTTGAGCAGCGACATTTGGAGACAAGAATTGTTTTTGTTCAACTTATTACATTCAATTCATTGGTTGGCACGCGTATCATTTGCTGCTATCAGTCACTTAAACCAGCGTAATTAGTTAAAAAGATGTCAAACTCTTTTCGCTTATATTATTCTTTTTTCTTAAATAGTATAAAAACATAGGTCAAATTTGGAAAACTGTGAAACTTGAGCAAAATTAATAGGATAGGGGCCATATCTGCAGCTGCTGATAGCCTTCTGTCACAACCTCATGAAATTTTCAACATTTCAAGTTTCGACAAGTAATTCTGAGAAATAATAAAAGTTCATATAAAAGGCAATGAACAGTCCATTTTGGAGTCCAAATGAAAAATCTCGTGAGAATACCTACTTTGACAGCACACCACTGTGTTGAGAACTTTGAACTTTGTAAATTGTTTTAGAGCTAAGTATTTGAAATTTTACGAAAAATCATAAGACGGCAAATCTTAAAAACTAAGATAATTTCAGCAGTGGAATTGAAGGCAGGATTTGCAACCAATGAAAGTATAATAAAAGCAACCCACTAAAAAGTTCAAATAAGGTTCTAGAAATTTTTTAATCAAGTTTTGTAACTTTGTAAAACTTGAAATTAAAGTTTTCTGAAACAAATAGAAAAATTTCCATATCTCGAGATCAAAAACAATTTCAGCAGGCACAATTGGAGGAAAGATTTGCAAGTAAAATTCCAAATTTGTGAAAACTCTTATATCTAACTTCATTGAAAATTTTTTGAAAAAATCAAAAAAAACGCAATGGTCAGAAAAAGAAAAGCACTTGAGCAGTCACACTGGGAGACAAGAATTTCGACGCCTGAGAGTACACTGACAGTAACCAATCAAATGGCTAAAAATTTCAAACTTTAGTGAAGGTTCTTAAATCTAAGTTTTCTGAAAATTTTGAAAAATCACAAAAAATGTCATATCGCGGAATCCAAAGGCACTTGAGCAGTTTTTTTTGAAGGCAACATATTTGCGAAGTCTGAGAACTCCCTGACGGCACCCGACTACAGGGTTGGACTTAGAAATTAGAAGAACGT